CACAAAGCTAGTGGAATGAGTAGGCATAGGACAGGTGCCACATGATCTTCCTTAGATGTGGAATCTACAACAACCAGACTCACTGGAGAGGAGAACCAAAAACAGGAGATGTTGTCAAAGAACACAAAGTATACTTAGATTAGGTATATAATAATGTATTATATATCTAATTAGGTATATAATACATTACTATTAACTAGTCATCCTACTGTGCAATAGACTCAGACCTTACTGAGTCTATTGCACAGTAGGATGACTAGTTAATAATAATGTATTATAAACTGGGTGTGGTGGCCACACCTGTAATCCCAGAGACTTGGAGGCTGAGGCAGGAGGATTGCAAGTTTGAGGACAGCCTTGGCAATTTAGCAAGACCTTATCTAAAAATAAAATGTTAAATGGGCTGGGGGTGTAGCTCAGTGGTGAAAGACCTTGGGGCTCAATCCTCAGTACCACAAAAAAGAACATTTTTCAGAATCCCTTGCTTCTCTCCTTTACTGAAGATCACATCCAGGGCCTTTCACAGGAGTGTGCCATTGAGCTACATCCCCAGTACCACAAGAATAAATTTCAAATGTTTTCACCATGAAAAATGAGATTTGAAATGATGATTAGATTAATTAGATTGATTTAGTCGTCCCACATTTTAGACATATATAATCACTTTGTACCCCATAAATATAGACAGTTAAGAAAAAAATTCAGAGATAGTTTAAACCCCTTGGGTTTGGCTCAAACCCACAGCTGGCCTCTTGCCTAGGGCTAAGATGGCCTTTCTGGCAGGAGAGTCCCCCAGCACTACAGGGCAGGGATAGGCTCCTGGCCCACGAGGCTGAGTGTCCCATGTTGCCTGGAATGAGGGTCTTGGCCAGTGGCAGGTAGGGCCTCCCAGGACTGCTTCTGTGTGCCGAGGAACAAGCCCCCTTGCCTTAGGGGTCAGGCCTGCCTGGTCTGTGAAAGACACGGCCAGGTAGGGCCATAAGCAAGTAGCCTTGCCAAGAGTCAGCTGGGCAGTCAGAGATGCATTGGTGGGTAGTCGGGATAGGACTTTCTGGTTTCAGTTTTCTTTTTCTTTCTTTCTTTCTTTTTTTTCCCCCTTAATTAACTGTATTTCTTTTTTCCACGTGTGTGTGTGTGTGTGTGTGTATGTGTTGCTAGGGATTGAACCCAGGGCCTTGTGCATGTGAGGCAAGCTCTCTACCAACTGAACTATATCCCCAGCCCCTGGTTGCAGTTTACTTACATGGCACATAGGTATAGTTGCTACCTGCTGTAGGGAGGGGGCGGGTTTACCATGAAGAGCATGAGGCTTATGCTGCAGGAGTTCCTAGTTGTATGAGCCCCTTCCATGTCCCTAAACTGAATTTTAGTTTTGTCAGATGTGTGTACCTGTGAAGCCATTACCGCCATCATGATAGTGAACTCAGCCATCGCTCCCAGATGTGTTTTTTTTTTTGTGTGTGTGGTGCTGAGGACCCAACCCAGGGCCTCACATATGCTGGGCCAGTGCATCCCCAATTAAGAGTTTTTAATCAATTTGTAGTTCTCATTCTTTTTTTCAAAGAGAGTCTCCTAATTTTTAAATGCCTTGGGCCCTGAAAATTCTGGATTTGTTCATGCATAGAAAAACTCAAAGCCAGTTGTGGTGGTGCACACCTGTAATCCCAGCAATTTGGGAGGCTGAAACGGGACGATCACAAGTTTGAGGCCAGTCTCATGACTTAGCAAGATCCTAAGCAATTTAGGCCCTGTTGCAAAATAAAAAAGAGCTAGGGCTATGGCTCAGTGGTAGAGTGCCCCTGGGTTCAATTGCCCCACCACCAAAATGCGCTGCAGAGGAATGTGCAGACAATAGGAAGTGCTAGGGTGAAGTGGGAAGGTGATTGGGCACTCAGTGACATGATCAGGGAAGACCTCCTGAGACACGGCATCTGGTGGCATTTGAGTCACAAGGCCGTGACAGACCCTAGCAGAGACTTGAAGATGGTGAGCTGTATTGGTCTCCTTGACTGAATATTCCCCTGAAGGAGGAACAGGAAGTTCAAAGGCCTCACAAGTTCCCAGAACAGCAAGGAGGTCAGGGCGGTGTGACGGATGGCATTAGAAAGATGCCTGAGCTGCACAGAGCCGGGACAAATCCTGAAGGGGCTTTCAGGCAATCGCAAGGACTTTCACACTTTTACTTTTTTTTTTTTTAATCTTGCCCAGCTGGCCTCCAGCTTCGGGGCCCACACTCTTTCTGCTGCAGCCTCCCTAGTAGCTGGGACTGCAGGTGCACACTACTGCACCTGGTAGGTCTTGGCCACTTTTAATCAGAGGGAGATAGAAGCCAGGGAGCTGTTTGGGGGTGTGGTTAAAAAATTTGGGGGGGGGTCTACCAGGGATTAAACCCAGGGGTGCTTAATCACAGAGTCCCATCCCCAGCTCTTTTTATATTTTATTTATTTTTTATATTTAATTTTTAGTTGTAGATGGGCACAATATTTTATTTTATGTGGTGGTGACGATCGAACCCAGGGTCTTGCTAAGTTACTTTGGGCCTCACTGAGTTGCTGAGACTGATTTTAAACTTGTAGTCTTCCTGCCTCACTCCGTGAGCCACCAGGGTTACAGGCATGCACCAGTCTGGCAGCTTTTGAATTTTAATTGAATCACTGCAGCTAATGTGTTGAGAACAGACTAGGAGTGTGGAATCCAGGTGGAGAGAGAGATTCATTGTCCAGGCCAGACAGACAGCATGATAGCTTGGACCATGGTAGCTATGGTGATGAGCAGCAGCCCAGTTCTGTTTGAAGGGAGAGCCATGGCAAACTCGTGTCATTTATTCACTCAGGCACTCAGTAGGTGCCAGTTGTTGGAGATGCAGACTTGAATGAGGGTGTGGGCTCTTCCTCTGAGGCGCTGAGAGTGTAATTAGCAGAGATAACTGATAGCTGCTCACTGTGTGCAAGGTATGGGCCAGAGGAGTAGCACAAGGACTGTCCCCTAGATATTCTCCCAAGTACCCCCTACCATCCCCATCTCTCCAGCTCTCCCACCACCCATCTGAGGCTCTCTCACTCCTCAGCACCTCGTCCCGCAGTGCTGCAGTCAGCCTGTGGGTGTGCAGAAGCCCTCTCGTTGCCTCTGGACTGGTCTCTGATTTGCCTACTTATTTAGACAAAGAACATGTTCATTTTACAGAGAAGGAGGCAAAGCCACAGAGTGTTCTCATTGGATCAGAATTAAGGTCTGTATCCTAAGTCTGTAAAAATTTGGTTGGTTGAATCTGGAGGAAAAAACCTTAAAGAAACTAGATTTAAAGAAGAGAAGTCTGGGTGAAGGTCCTCGGAGGGAGCTGACCTGTCAGGGTCTCAGTTCCTTCTTGGAGTTGTGGGCTCCAGCCAAGCTCCCACCTTCCAGGCTTGTGGTCCTTTTTCAGTAACCCAGTGGTAATGGATTAGACCTTATATTTCATAGCTGCAGCCTGAGTGCCTCTAGTTAGACATGGAGCAGAACTGTGGGACATTCATTGGACTGACAGAGTTTCCTGTGGAACCTTTCCCTGAAAAGCTTTGAGAAGAGACTTCTTGCTGGACTCATGGTTTTAGGTGCAGAGCAGCTCATGGGCAGTGTCTCCTTGAGTCTGAGCCTGAGCCTCTCCTCTCTCCTCTCTCCTTTGGACACAGACAAGCCAGTTCTCCTAGCCAGCAAGTCTTTCTGGCAGACAGGACCTCTTGAGGGTGGCCTCTTAATTCAGGCTTGGCAGTGGGGAAAGGTCAGCTGGGGGGCCAGTTTGGTCTTGGCCCGTTTCTCTGGTTACAACCCAGGTGGCAGACAGCCCGCTCGGCTCACGTCCCCCTTTATCAGCAGCTTCCAGCAGCACAGGACAGGCTGGAGCTATGCCCTCTGGCCCCAGAGCTGGAGCTAGGAGGCAATGGACAGATCCCCCACCCCAGACCTCTCGCCCTCCTTCTCCCTCACCGTCTTCTTCTGTGTGGTCTAATCATACCCAGTGGTCATGATCCAGAGCAGAGAGGCCCCACCACCCAGCAGCCTGAACAGATCCTCATCCTCTAACACACCTCTGTCTCTAGCAAGCACTCAAACCATGTGTGAGCACATGCCCCCCATAACTAGATGGGGAACTCATTGGGGGGAACATCTTCATGAGCTCATTTAGGGTAATAGAAGACTTGGAGGGCTTCTGTAGTTGGCCAGGGTCCTGCAGATACAGCGTCACCTCCAGGCCACCAGGCCTTGGGAGCGTTCAGTGCTGCCTGTTGACTGGCCTAAGTCAGAACCAGGGCTGGAGGTGGGGTTGGCTGGATTTGTTTGTTTCCTTGTTTTGGGCAGTGAGCATGCTAGGCAAGCCCTCTACCACTGAGGTGCACCCCCAGCCCTCACCCTGCTCCTGTTGTGCTGGGGATGGAACCCAGGGCATTATAGGGACCTGGGGAGTGCTCCACCACTGAGCTACGCCCCCTGGCTGGGATTTCTGGTCTTTGAGTGAAGGACCCAGGCCCGCTGTCTGGGGACACTCAGTCTCAGTAGTGTGCCTCCCAGGACCTTCCTTAGTCACAGACAGGACATCTTGGAAGGTTCTGCTCATTTTCAGAGGCTGTAGGAACTGTGGGAATCTCATATGGAAAGGGCCAAGGGTCAGGCACTATTCTGGAGCCCCGGACGGAGGTGGGGGCAGAGGTGGCTTGAGCCTATTGTGGGGACCCAGATGAAGAGGTGGCCAGGATGGGGTGGGGAACAAGGCTGGGGGTTGGGAGGCTCTGCGAGGCTCCTTGGGCTGTGACCTCTTTGTTCTCAGGTCACCAGTCCACCCAGTGAGGCCTTAGTGTCCTCTGGCTGCTGGGAGATCCCTGTGGTCTCTCACCCCAAGTCCCACCCAAGGTGGAAAGGAAGGAAAAGGCTCCTCCAGGGAAGGGACCCTCTTGTCCCCCTGCTTTCTTGCCTCTCTGCCTTCTGTCCTCTCCTCCCCACCAAGAGATTATTGTCACTCGCTGCAGGTCGGAATGAGCTGATTGCCCGCTACATCAAGCTCCGGACAGGGAAGACCCGCACCAGGAAGCAGGTGGGCCCGGGGAGGCAGGCATGGACCCCAGGGGCAGGGCAGTGGGGGGTGGTGTGACACACATGGTCCAGCTTCCCTGTGGGGGGAGTCTTCCTGTCATCCCCTGGGAAGAAACAGCAGCTTCCTCTTTGGGACATTAGAAAAGATGTCAAAACACTGGCACTACACTTTTAAAGTGTTGGCAAACTGGGGATTCACAGAACTGAGCACCACCCCCACCCCTAGATCCTGTCATTCAGTCAGTCTATGCACAGATGTGGCTGAGGGCCAAGGGTCTGGGAGCACAGGCTGTATGAGAGGTAGGGACAGGAGCCTTCTCTTCCTGCCACAGGTCTCCAGTCACATCCAGGTGCTGGCTCGTCGCAAAGCCCGCGAGATCCAGGCCAAGCTCAAGGTAAGGCAGACAGGAGCTGTGGGAGGAGGGGGGTGCTTTGGTTTCAGGTGGGGCCAGCTTCCCAGAAACTGGGGCTCTTTCTCCAGCAGGAAAGTCTCCCCTGTGTGTTCAGGGGCTGGCTGCTTGTGTGCAGGGCCCGTGTGCTTCTTTGCTTTGGGGTCCTGTGACCACACTCTGCTGGACATAGGAGCCCTGTGGGGTTGCTGGTCTCTCCTGTCCCAGGAAGCTACAGGCCGCCTCCTGCTGTGCCCAACCCCTAGCTCAGAGGGGGCTCCCCTAGCTCAGCACAGTTGCATCAACCTATAGATCCCCTTTCTTGAAGAACTTCCCAAGCCACTGGCCCTCTTGGGACCCCCACAGGCCTCTCAGGGCCATCAGTCAGCCTGCGGGGGTGGCAGAGTTTGGTGTTATTATGGGAGGGGAGGGGCTGGCGGAATTCCTTCCTGCTCCCTGCTTTCTGGGACTAGCCGGTTCTTCCCCTCCCTGAATCAGGCCCGCCTTGCAGGGCCTCTGTGACAGGTGGTTGCTCTGTGGAAGGCCAGCTGCTGACAGGGTTTCCCTCAGGGAGTCAGGCCTCCTGGATCGTGGAACCAAAGACCCTTTGGTGAATACTCCGTGGGAGTGAGCTCCCTGTCATGGAGCTGTTAACAACCAAGCCTGCTTGGCCTCTTGAAAGGAAGCTCTAACATTTGGACCATTGAATTCGATTAATAGTTTACAAATTTTTTAAAAAACAACAAAAGTCCCTTTTATTATTTTCCCCAAACAAAATATCAACAGGCCAGAGACCCCCTCCTCCCGTGCAGCCTCTTGTACCTGACCGAGAACCTCAACAGCACTGGACTAGATGACCTTGAACGTCCCATCTGGCCCCAGTAGCCCATGATCCTGACACTTGTGCCCCAGACTGAGTGGGTGGGAACCACAGATCTTTCTGCCTCCTAGGAAGCCACAGCCCACTGCCCGCCCAGTTCCATTCCTTGTGCCATCAACCCAGCTGTCCCCCACGCCCCACAGCTGTGACCCAACATCTCGTCCCTTTGTCCCTGGGACAGCTGGCCTGGCTGCAGCTGTGGATCCCTCCCTGGAACACCCCCAGCCCTGGAGCCCTGCTTGCTCCTCATGTCCCTTCTCTGGTGTGCCACTGACTCCCTGGGACCCCAGCAGGTGGCCGTGGAGGACAGACTTTGCAGTGTTATGTTTAGAGTACCCCAGGGAAGGTTTAAGTCCCCTGGGGCTATTGTCCCACCCACACTTAGGAAATTGCATACATCCTTGTCCACAGATTCTAACTTGGGGCTGACGATAGCCTTCGGTGGACTGCCAGACAGCCACCAAAGGGAACCACAAAATGCTTAAAATATGCAGTTTCATTTATATGTGCGTTTTGCTGAAGAGGTGGGCATGAAGATTTTGTCCTACTTCTAAAGGGGATCCTGGGGCCCAAGTCATTAAGCTCTGGGGTGGACAGCGAGGCCAGGTAGAAATCCTCAGGCTGTGAGGTTTGGTCCTAGCCCTGTCTCTACCTTTGTGGCCACAGGTACATAGGAAAGTCACGCAACCTCCCTGAGTGCCATTCAGTTTCCTCATCTGTAAAATGGCAGGGCCAAGTGGCAAGGTGATAGTTGAGGTTCCCTCCAGCTGCAAAATTCAATGACCCTACCTCTGCTGCCTGGCCACTGATGTCACTCCCCATAATGTCCTTTCTACTTCTTCCTGACTCCTGCCTCTCCCACTGAGGACATGGTTTCCTGAGGCGCAGTCATTTGTTTAGAGTGGGGATCCGGGAAGGGACGCAGATTGCTGGCATAGAGCCACGAGCTCTCTGGCCTCGTGATGTAGTTGTTCTTCTCAGAGGTCTGTGTTTGTGTCTGGGGCGGGGGGCGTGTAGCCTGCCAGGTCATTCATATCTCCTGGAGGAAGAGGCCTGGGCTGGTTTTTCCTTAGGAGGAGGCACACCTCTACTTGTTACTGCCTCTGGGGTTATTTGAGACAGTCTCTGAGAGCCAGGCCCAAGTTTTGACCCTGGACATTGGGGAGGGGCTCAATGACAAACTTCTGTTTTCAAACATCATCTACTTCACTGCTTTGTCTGAGTGACAGATGACGTCAGCACTCAGAATGTTTCCCACGTCTTCCATTGTGTTGCTGAGTGCTTCCAGGCCCTGACATGTCTGCCACTGTCCTCTTGGTTAACAGAGCCCACTCTGTGCCAGTCTGGACTGTGATAGTTTTCTGTGGCTATAACAAAATACCTGAGACTGGGTAATTTATAAGGAATAAAGCTGGACATGTTTACATGTGCCTCTAATCCAAGCTTTGCAAGAGACTGAGGCAGGAGGATTACAAGTTCAAGGCTGGCCTGGCCAACTTAGTGAGACCCTATCTTGGAATTTAAAAGAATTTTTTCCCAAGGGCTGAGGATGTAGCTCAGTGACAGAACACTTGACTAGCATGTGTGAGTCCATGGGTTCAATACCCAGTAGCATGTGCACGTGCACACACACACACACACACACACACACAAGTTCATCATAGCTGGGGTGGAGCTCAGTGGCAAAGCGTGTGCTGTGCTTAGCAACATGCACAAGGTTCTGGGTTCCATGCCCAGCACAAAAGGAGAGAAAGTCTTAACAATTTTTTTTTTAATATCTTTATTTTTATTTGTTTATTTTTATGTGGTGCTGAGGCTCAAACCCAGTGTCTCATGCTTGCAAGGCAAGTGCTCTTCCTCTGGGCTACAACCCCAGCCCAAGTCTTATCAATTTTAAAGACTGGAGAGTGAGGGACGATTACCTGAGCTTATGTAACATTGTTATTGCCCCTCCCTCTCGCTCTTCCTCCCTTCCTTCCTTTCTTTCTTCCTTCTTTCCTTCCACTGAGGGTTGAACCCAGGGCCTCATGCATGCTAGGCAAGTGCTCTGACACTGAGCTACATCCCAGCCCTTTAAAATTTTATTTTGAAACAGGGTCTTGCTAAGTTGTCCAGGCTGGTCTCCAACTTGTGATTCTCCTGCCTCAGCTTCCCGAGTACCTGGGATTGCAGGTGCTCCTATACCCAGAATTATTTATTTATCGTGTACTTATTTGTTTTTGCACTGCTGGGGATTGAACCCAGGGTTTTTCATATGTTAGAGGGACCCTCTACTCCCTGAGCTACACTCCCAACTTGGTGATTATTGTTATTAGTGTGATATTAAAGGCTTTTCTAAGTGCTTATTTATTCAGGTCTGTGCAGGCTGAATGCGTTCTTTGGACCCTCCTAGTCCACAAAGACAGGCAGGGATATTTATTTACATTTTGACATATGAAAAGTAAGTGCCTATAGTGCAAAGGGGACACCGTAGGGCAGAATGTCGGACCATAAGAGATTGTCCTCTCCTCCACACAGTCCATGTGGACAAAGATGATCCCTCTTCAGGCAGCTAAGGACAAGGCCCTGCAGAGCATGGAATCCAACAGTTACTTAGGCATCATCCACCACCATCCAGGTGCTGAGGTTCAGAGTACAGTGGTGGACGAGGCAGAAAGAGACCTATACTCTTGGTTTCTTTTTTTTTTTTTTCCTTTTGCAGTGCCGTGGATGGAACCAAGGACCTTGCGTGTACTAGGCAAGGCCTCTACCATGAGCTACACCCCCAGCCCAAGACCCCTGTTTTTATGGTGTTCTCATGGTTGGTAAGATGGAAATGCAGGGCTGGGGATATACCTCAGTGGTAGAGCACTTGCCTAGCATGTGCGAGGCCCTGGGTTTGATCCCAGCACTGCTAAAAAGAAGAGAGAAAGAAGGAAAGAAAGAAGAAAGTTACAGTCTGGCACGGTTTCCACAGTCTCTGAGCTCTGATGGAATCAGCAGGATAAGTGGTGTGCGGAGGCTGTGACAGATGAGGGAATCCATAGAGAACCCAGTGGCATGCACAGTCATAAAATGTGTTAGTGGCACTGCAGACTTAAGATATGGTTCCTAGGCTCTGGCCACTGGCAGTGGGACAGGTCCTGTCACCCCAAGGCCAGAACCCACCTTGCCTGGGCCTGACAGGTGCTCCCCTCACTGAGGCACTGCCTTCAATGTCTCCCCCAGGATCAGGCAGCTAAGGACAAGGCCCTGCAGAGCATGGCTGCCATGTCGTCCGCCCAGATCATCTCGGCCACAGCTTTCCACAATAAAATGGCCCTCGCCCGGGGCCCAGGCTACCCAGCAGTCTCAGGGGTAAGTGGGGCAGCCTAGAACCAGAGGCCAGACCAGCCCTGTCCTCCTCTCTCCTCTCTCCTCTCTCTGCACAAATACGAGCAGCAGCCAGTCCAGCAGCCACTCTCACTTGAGTCCTATCCGTCGAGGAGCTCCGGGGGGAAGGAGGAAGCAAGGGCACAGGAGCACCCTGAGTCATGGCTCAGTGGGTGGAGCTACCTTCTTGGTATCCTCAGCAGTGATATGGCAGACCTTGAACAAGGAGAAAGGTGTGACCATTTGAGGGACAGCCCAATTTACAGATGAGGAAGCTGAAGTCTGAGGCTTTAGCATAGCATCAGTGTGTCCCTAGTAGCTGGCCACTTCTTGTCCCCACTCCTCCTGCTCAGGATCCCAGCACCACCCCCTTCTAGGTAGAGAGCTGTCCAGAAACAAACCCTTGCTTAGATTTTCAATTTCTCAGCCTAATGACCAGCCTTTCAGCCATGGTCAAGTTGGCCACACTTAGAAAATGTTCCAGAAACACTCCTCCTTCCCAAGTTGTGTCTTGGCTGTAGGGATCATATGGGTCTTAGATGCACCAACCACACTGCCCTAGGCCTGTGGACAAGGGGCAGGCCCCATAGTAGTCCATGGGCTTCTTGTGCATTGTATTTCAGAGTGTGTTCCAGACAGGAATGCTAGGCCAATAGCATGTTAAATAGATGTGACACAAGATAATTGAGTGGGCAAGTAAGTTTGGGACACTTGGAATTAAATCAGTTCCTTTTTGGTGCTAGGGATTGAACCCAGGGCCTCATGCATGCTAAGTACAGTCTGTACCACTGAGCTGCACCCCAGCCTCGGGGGCACTCAACTGCTGAGCCACATCCCCAGCCTATTTTATATTTTATTTAAAGACAGGGTCTCGCTGAGTTGTTTAGAGCCTCTCTAGATCCTCCTGCCTCAGTCTTTCGAGCTGCTGGGATTACAGGCATGCGCCACTGTGCCTGGCCTCAATTTCTTGATTCTAGGATTTTTCAGAGTCTAAAGTGCTCATGTGCACTGTGAATCTTTATAGGGAATTCAGTGTGCAGTGTTAGCAAACCTAGGTGTTTTATTTTTTTCCCGTGGAGCATCTTATTGACAGTCTTTCCAGAGACTAATGTACCTGAAAACACACTTTGTGGATGCGGCTATAGTCTGTTGGCATCAACTTGCTAGACAAGGGCATTGGCTTTCCTTCCTCCCATTTGGGTCCAGTTTTGTCTCTCCCACACCTTGGGCCCCTGTGTGCATATAATTGACCCTGCCCCTTTTGCCTCCTCAGTTTTGGCAAGGAGCTTTGCCAGGCCAAGCTGGAACATCCCATGAGTGAGTATGGCCTCGTTCTGCTACTACTTGCTCCCTGAACCAGTCTGAACACATGACTCATGAGACTGAGCCTGGCTCCCCTGGAAGGAGTGGGGCTGCAGGCTGGGGTCAGACTTTCAGAATAGCCTTGAGCCTAGGGATTGGGTCTCCTGCTCCTGGGCATCAACATGGCTCTGTTTTCATGCTTACCCCCTGGGGTACCACTTGCTGAAACTCATGTCTGTCCAGGGTGTGGGTGGGGCTAGGGCTTTGGATCCAAAAGGAAATAGCCTAAGAATCATCTCTCTGGTGGGCCAGGGAGGAGAGAACAGGATGGGTTGCCCCAACATGCATGCCAAGGGAGTTAACTGGAGGGAATGGGAGGCCAAAGCCACCACGATTCACTGGCCAGTCACCATGGCCTGCCACCCAGAGGGCATTGGCCCCTGCTTGAGGTCGCTGATGGCCTCCTTTCTCCTCTCCTCTCTCCCATAGTGTGAAACCCTTCTCTCAACAAACCTATACTGTCCAGCCTCCACTGCCTCTGCCAGGTAAGTTGGCAGTGCATTCCCTGAGGCTCCTGCCCTGATCCCAGGCTCCCAGTAACTGGTCACCTGTGTGTCACTCTCATGTGCTACTCTGTCATGTGCCCTGACCATATATCCCAGTCTTGTGCCTACACCCTGTTCATTGACCCTAGTGTATATTCCTCACCCCTGTGCCAAGCCGTTGTCCTCCTTGGGGGGCCTGTACTGCTGTCCTCCCCAGCTGTGCTCAGGGCTACCTGGCTGCACAAAGCTCCAAGGCAGTGCCTCTGCTCCAGGGAGCTGCATCACCTGGCTGCCCTTATAGCTTAGTGGTGGAGCGTTTGCCCAGAAACTCAAAAAAAAAAAAAAAAAAAAAATCCAACCTGAGTATTTCACTCCCTGCCTCAGATCTCCAATGGCTTTCCTGGACTCTTGGGTAAAATCCATCCTGTTGACCAGGCACCCTAGAGGCCATCTCTGCAGCCTCAGTTTACTGCCCCTGGCCCACTCCCTCCTCCCTCCATTTTTGCCATGTGTTGAGTTTCAACCTCAGTGAGCCAATTTGCAGCCCCACGCGCTTGCCTTTGGTGTTCTATCTGGAATGCCCTTTCTACCTGAACTTCCTACTTGCTTCTCTCAAACAGCACCTTTGAATGTTGAAGAGTTTTTCCAAGGGGGCTAGGAGCTCCTCTTGGTGCTGAGGACATACCTTGTCAATTTTGTCCCATTCATTCATTCATTCCTTAGCAACCTTGTATCCCATGCCTGTTCTGAGCCAGGTTCTTTTCTCAGTGCTGGAACCAGGCAAAAAACTTCTGCTTTCAGGGGCTGATGTCATTTTGTAAGAATCGTTTTCTCTGGTTATCTTCTTTCCTGGGCCAGAAGCTGCAGGAGACCAAGAGTCCAATGGTGTCTGCTCTAGAGGTCCTGCAGTCCAGCAGGCCCCCAGCCCCCGTCAGAATTCAGTCTCCCTTGAGTTCAGTTCTGTGCAGAGGCCTGACCCACTGAGCTGTACCAGGCTAGCCCTTCCAAGACGTCCGAGCCTGTGCCTGGCACTGCCCTTTCCAACAGGCACGGGCCTCACTTGTGGGGCCCAGAGCCCTTGCAGGGGGTGTAGCAGGGAGGGCAGGTGGACCGGTTCCTGAGCCTCTCCCACCCTCTGCAGGGTTTGAGTCTCCTGCAGGACCCACCCCATCGCCCTCAGCACCCCCAGCACCCCCGTGGCAGGGCCGCAGTGTGGCCAGCTCCAAGCTCTGGATGTTGGAGTTCTCCGCCTTCCTGGAGCAGCAGCAGGACCCAGACACGGTAGGCCCTCTGCCCCAGCGCCCTTCAGCTCTCCTTGCTTCTGCCTGCTGCCCTTCTGCACTTGGCCACGTTGGGCATAATCTTGGTTTCCTCTTCCTTTCTAGCCTTTCCTTTCTTTGGCCCTTCCCTCCTCTTCTCCCTTTCTTCCTCACTCTGCCTTGGTCCTCCCTCTTTCCCTGCATGCTGGAGTGCCTCCATCCCAAGCCCTCCCCTGCTTCCTGCCCCCGCCCTGTCCTGTGTTCTTCCTCCCTCCTTCTAGCCCTGCCCCACACCCTTCCCTCCACTCCCGGCCTCGGAGGGGCTGTCAGGAAGCTGGGAAGCCTCCTGTGTCTGATCCATATCCTTTGAGGCACCAGCAAGGAGTGGCAGCCCACCCTTGGATTGCCCCTTCAGTGTCCCACGTCTTGGGTGACCAGCATCCCCTGCAAGGGCCAGAGTAGTACTGGAGGAGGCTGCTGACAGGATGCCGCTGTGACATTCTGAGTTGATTTTTGGCAGAGGAACCATGAATCACATACACTCATTCTGTTTCTGTATTCCCTATGGGAAAAGTGAAGTGACTCGCTCCAGGTCACATAGCCGGTGAGCACCAGCTCTGGTCCACTTCACCTGTGTGCCCGCCTCTCCTGGCACCCCTCTCAGACCACTCTTCCCGCCACAGTACAACAAGCATCTGTTCGTGCACATCGGCCAGTCCAGCCCAAGCTACAGCGACCCCTACCTCGAAGCGGTGGACATCCGCCAGATCTACGACAAGTTCCCAGAGAAGAAGGGCGGGCTCAAGGAGCTCTTTGAACGGGGACCCTCCAATGCCTTTTTTCTCGTGAAGTTCTGGGTAAGCCCTTGGGTAAACCTTTCCTTCCATCCCCAGTGCATCCGCGACGGTGAAAGCAGGGAAAGAGTGGGCACAGGTGTCCTTGTCATTGTGGGGGCTGCATGAGAGAGAAGTGGAGAAGCAAGCGCAGAAAGGCCCCCTCTGGAGGGAAATAAGTCCCGGAACCTGTGTGTGATGCCAGAGAGCCGGGAGGATAGGAAGGGGCCCCTCCCTCTTTTTTTTTGTGCACACATGCTTATAGCACTTTTATTCAAAATTTTCTATTTTTTTTATTATTAGTTGTTCAAAACATTACAAAGCTCTTGACATATCATATTTCATACATTTGATTCAAATTTCTTTCTTGTTTCTTTTTTCCCTGTGGTTCTGGGAACTGAACCCAGAGCTTTAACTCATGCTAGGCAAATGCTCCACCACTGGGCCGCACCCCAGCCCAAGAGTCCCTTTTCCAGGCCTGGGCAGGAAGTGGGGCTTTAGGGAAATCATAGTGCTAGAAAAAGACATATAGGGGACCCTAAGGGGTGGGAGCAGAGTCAATGGTCAGGTCTTCACATGGCAATTCCCAGATTGATTTTGGGGCTGGAGATGGGCAGCCAGTCCCAATGTGTGTCTCCAGGGTGAGTTGGGCTGAACAGAGCTGGGAAAGGGGAGAGTAGGACTAGAATATAGCTCATCCTGCAGAGCTGCTCCAGCCAGGCCACCCCAGAAGAAGTACAGTCCACACCATGGACTTGCCCTCTGTTGTTCTCCCCACTCCACCTGTGGACAGGTACTGCCCATCCATAGACACTTTCCTGGGGCCAGGAGGTGCAGACCCACTCTGGGAGCTTGCCTTCCAGGAGCCCAGTACACATAGGAAAGGGACGCAGGGAAAGTCCGAGCAGTGCTGACCAAGCCAGCCCTGAGGACGGGCAGGAAGTCCTCGGCACTCTGAGCCTTTGAATATCCTAAGTGCTTGGACACCCGGCCTGGGTGGCCCCGCCCACATTCCCCTTCCTGCCCCTTCAGTTCTGTTAATGCCCAGAGGACTGTGCCAGGCTCCTTTTAATACCTCTTCTCTGTAGTTCTCACCCCTATTTGCTCTGCTTTGATAATCTGAAAGCCTTATTGTCCTAGAAAAGGAAGTATTCACACCAAAGTGTGTGTGTGTGTGTATATACATATATATATATATATATATATATATATCATTATATCATTCCAGGTGGCTCTCAGGCCCCTGCTGGGAAGGCCAGCTGTCATTCACAACTAAGCCCACAAGGCTGGCTCTCTCCAGAAGAGCCAAGCACTGGAATGGCCTCCGGGGCCCACGTTTTCACACTCTGCTCACAGGAATAGCTGGTTCTGCAAACAGGATGGAAGTTGGACCTGGCCCTAGGGGTGAGCAGGATCCAACAGGAAGAGATGGGGACCCCAGTATAGCCTGGGAGCATGAGCCCCAAACATGGAAGGAAGTGGGAAGGTGTTGGGGGAAGCTATGTGAGAAGGAATAACAAAACTGGGAAGGTGACTTGGATCCTGGAAGGTCTTGATTTTATTAAAGTCTGCATTTAATCTATGCTGTGATGAAAAATAAGTCATCTTTTCTTTTACTTGATTTTTTTTCTTTTTTCAACGCTGGGGATTGAACCCAGGGTCTTTCGCATGCCAAGCACACGCTCTGCCTCTGAGCTGCCTCCGCAGCCCATTGATCTTTTTAAAAATTATTATATGTTTGTTTGTTTATTTTTTGCATTCCTAGGGTGCAAACCCAGGGGTGCTTTTCCACTGAGTTACACCCCCAGTTCTTTTTATTTAGAGATAAGAGCTTTGCTAAGTTGGGGAGGCTGACCTTGAATTTGTGCTCCTCCTATCTCTGCCTCCCTATTCTCTGGGATTAGGAGCATATGTCACCACACCGAACTTGATCTTTTTTAAAAAATCAATGTAGGCTGAGCACAGTGGCCCACACCTATAATCCCAGTGGCTCAGGAGGCTGAGGCTGACCCTGTCTCTAAATAAAATACAAAATAGGACGGGGGATGTGGCTCAGTGGTTGAGTGCCCCTGAGTTCAATCCCTGGTACCCCCCCCCCCATTACCACCAAAAAAAAGAAAATAAATTAATGTATTTTCATAGTTAGATTATCTACTCCAAGAGGCTTTTATAATGAAAATATCAGATTTTTGTCTGTTACACCCTACACCCATGTCCAAGTACCAGAGACAATGTCTATAAATGTTAACTGTTTATTTGAGTTTTATCACCTGAATTTTAAATAATATCCTTATATTGCTACACCTTGATGTTGAGACTAAGACATTACATATTTCATTATGGTAAAAAATATCAGCTATGAGCAGGGCACGGTGGCACACACCTGTAATCCTAGCAGCTTGGGAGGCTGAGGCAGAGGATTGTGAATTCAAAGCCAGCCTCAGCAACTTAGTGAGGCACTTAACAACTCAGTGAGCCCTGTCTCTAATAAAATATTTTTAAAAGGCCTGGGGATGTGGCTCAGTGGTTAAGCACCTCTGGGTTCAATCTCGAGTACCAAAAAAAAAAAAAATGTTAAAAAATATCAGTTATGATATCATGTTTACCCTTATTATCCCAATGTAATCATATGGAATAAGTTATGTACTTTAGTAAAAGAAGTAAAACATTTTTCATTTTTTGACAATGTAGATTGATCACCAATGAACCAAAAAAAAATTATGTTCATTTCTTGTACAGTTTTTGGATTTTTTTCCTTGTAAATAAATGGCTTTTACCCTTACTTATTTTAAAATAAGCTTATTTTTAAAGATTTTACAAATTGGGGTTGGGGGTGTGGCTCAAGCAGTAGCGCGCTCGCCTGGCATGCGTGTGGCCCGGGTTCGATCCTCAGCACCACATACAAACAAAGATGTTGTGTTGGCCAAAAACTACAAAATAAATATTAAAAAATTCTCTCTCTCTCTCTCTCTTAAAAAAAAGATTTTACAAATTGCTTTATTAGAACCACCATATAAAAATAGAAAAAAAAATGTTTTTTTCCCCAACTGCTAAAATCTATTAATTTATTTGTTTCTCCTTTCTCCTGGAGATCTTCTTACCACAAAAAAAAAAAAAGAAAGAAAGAAAAGAAAAGAAATTTATGTATTTTCATGGTTAAATTATCTACTCCAGATTTCTCCTGGAAATCTTCTTACCACCAAAATGCTTCTATTTTCCTACTCTCATTTAAACTGATTACTCTATAATTGTCATCTGGAGACTCTCCTATATTGAACCTACAGTTTCTTATATCTGATAGTTCTCTCTTCATTAGTGTACCCAACTCATTTTGCTGGAGCATATCCTGTAGTACCTTCTTAGAACAGATGTGTACCAACTTAGTGAGATCCTGTCTCAAAATAGAAAATAAATAAAAAGGGCTGGGGATGTAACTCAGTGGTAAAGCACCCCTGGGTTCTATCGTGGTACCAAAAAAGAAAAAAGAGAAGATGCATGGCAGATCAATGACCTTGCCTGTTTGAAATGTCATTTTCCTGTATCCTTATACTTGATTGCTTGATATTTGACTGGGTAAAGAATCTAGATCATAAACAACTTTTTAAGTCTGGTCTTGAACTTGAAATCCTCCTGCCTCAGCCTTTGTGTAGTAGCTAGGATTATAGATGTGCACACTCTGTACTTTTTTTTTTTTTTTTTTTTGGCAATGCTGGTGATGGAACTCAGGGCTTTGTACATACTAGTCAAGTTCTCTACCACTGAACTTCACTCCAGACCCTATTTACCTTTTTTTTTTTTGTGTGTGTGTGTGTGTGTGTGTGTGGTGCTGAGGATTGAACCCAGGGTCTTGTGCATGTGAGGCAGACACTCTACCAATGGAGCTGCATCCCCAGCCCTACCTATTTAAATTTTTAAGGAACTATCAGACTATTTTTCAAAGCGCCAGCACTATTTTACATTCTCACCTGCAGTGTCTGAGGCTTCCAGCTTCTGCACATCCTCACCAACACTTGATATTCTCATTCTCTGTGATGGTAGCTATCCTAGTGGATGTGGCACGGTAGTTCTTGTGGCTTTGATTTGCATTACCCTGATAACAAAGGATGAACATCTTTTCTTCCCCTAATTAACCATTTTGCTTATTGATCAATTGTATATCTTTTTTCCTCCCTTTTATGGTGTTGTGGGTTGAACACAGGGCCTTGTGCATGTTAACCATGCGCTCTGTCACTGAACTATACCCCCAGTCCCCTACATTGCCTTGGCTGGTCTTGAGCCCCTGGGCTCAAGTGGTTTTCGCACCTCAGCCTTCTTATTGGCTGGGACTCCATGTGCATGACACTGTGCCCAGCTCATTTGTATATCTTTTTTAGAGAAATGTCTATTTAGATCCTTTGTCTATTCTTAAATTGGGCTATGTATATTTTTATCATTGAGGTAGCAGTTCTTTATATATTTTAGATAGAAGTCCTTTATTGGATATATGATTTGCAAATATTTTCTCCTAATCTGCCATTTTTTTTTCCACATTCTTGATAGCATAAGGGTTTTTAATTTTGATGAAATCCAATGTACCTATTTTTTTTTTCCTGGTTGTCTGTATTTAGCAGTGACTGGGAGCTGTGTGTGCGAGGTGCACTGTTACCTGGTAGGCTTCACTTTAAGATGATTGGGGACAGGGAGCCAGCTGTTTTATTAGAGAATTGAATAAATATTACTGTTTGCTAGACCATTTTTTCCCCCTGAGGTGATTCAGTTTCTTCAGAGAGACTCCTAGGAAGTCCTGGGAGGTATATTCTTGGCCAGAGGGCTGGGATGGAGGAGGGGATGGAGGGCTGGCCATTTCTGGTGCTGGTTCTCACTTAACCGCCCCCATCCTCATCCCTGTCTCTTTTTGTACTTTTTTGTTGTGCCCAGTGTCCCTGAGACCCAAGGCCCCCCCCCCTATAATTTCAGATATAATTATCCTTTGGTCGTCTACCTGTGTGTGGAGGCCTAAGCATCCTATGTATGGATGTTAGTCC